CATCCCAAAAACTTGGGAACCTCGCCTCTCATGAAAAATTCTTAGGAATGGAACCAAACCTCTCACCATTTACAAACCGATCTCGAGAACGCTCTGAAGACGGGATGAAGTCCGATTGACCTCTTGGGCTTCTATAGGTAGAGGGCACAGAATGAGGAGGAAAACTGAAAAAGTGATGCATAATCTTGTTGGGGAAAACGTGAGAAAGGTAATTCCTATACTCACTCGTTACGACTGTTGGCAGGACCACTCGGCTTTTGCTTGTAGACTTGGCTGGGAACCGTATTTTGCGGTGGCTGGCAAACCGCTGCTGTGAATTTGGGTACTGTTGTTGAAACCGATTATTTTCACGGCGTGCGGTGTTAGGTTCACGTGGCCTTTGATTATAATCACGATTCTCTCCAGAAAATGTGGAGTGTGGAGGTATGTCTCGCTGCTCCTTCCCTTGTTTAGGATAGTTCCCTTTGTAACTAGAATTCCCTGAAAGAAAAGACCTGGTAAGTTGAAGCCATTTTTCGGGATCAATTCAAACCTCTTTTCTGCTGGCCATCAGAAGGATGAATTTCCTTTCTTGAAAACTGTCCACTTATCCGAGGTGGATTCACAGAGTTGCTATTTGAAGCAGGAGGCTGTAAATACAACAATAGGACAGCAGAAGTTCAGACCTGACCCCTGTTATTAAAGCAACAAACCGCAGGACGGCTATTGTCAGCATCTGGGATGACGTTAGTGGCAACGAAATCGAAGAGTGTAGATGGCTTGGATGGACGCGCAAATTCGGCAGGTACCTGAACAGCGTCATTTGAAGGCACCTCTAAGGCAGTTGTGAGTTGGGGACTGAAGTACGCATCCGTCCTCTTTTCTAGGCTATAAAGCGCACCCTTGTATAGAGTGCACCACGACTTGAGAATTTTAAGTGCAGAAAAGGCAAAGGAGCTACTGCTGGTGCGCCTCTGCGAAGTTGCGAATAAATGCGCCGTTTACCCCAGAAAATGGGGAAATTGCGATTTTATTGGAACTAAGCTAGCGTAACTATGAAAGAAGCAAAAAGGCATCACAAAGTGCAAAATATGACATGCTTATATTATTATCTGACAGAAACACTGTGCCGCAGTTACCTCCTCATCGTCGCTGTCTCCACCACGTCGCCTTCCTTTCTTGACGCGACGATCGTGACCTCGTTCTTTGATTACTGCTGGTTTTGTAGTTCTGGTGACATTTGACTCTTGTGATCTCGGCGGAGGTTGAATCTAAATGTCATTAGAAAATCTAAGAGAAACAAAGACGTTCCCATCAATTTGCGAGGTAAATGAGTAAATGGCAGCTGTAGTAGGGTGTCACTTTATGAATGCACGCAAACGTGGCTGGAGGGCTATCGTAGCGGGCTAACGTCCCCAACCGCCCACGTTATCCTCAAAGTGGAGCACTGCGTGGATGCCAATGTTCAGCGGAACACGTACTCAGCAGTAGAGAACAACCATCAATGACAGGTCCCAGATAAGCAGCGCGTTCGGCTATTGTTAGGTGTATGGAAAGACTGCAGCTGCGGACCCAACCACATCGCACATGGCAAGGAACACGAAGCTAAGTGCACAGTTCGTCTTCAGAAAAGTTACAACTGTATTTAGCGCTATGCCTGAAAGGCTGTGCATTTGTCTACCACAAATATCAGAAGCCTTTTGGAGAAAGTAAAAGACAGATCAGAATTGTGGTCAGAATTAGATTAAACTTATATGATCAAGAGACCTTCGCCCACTGCACCAAAATGGGCGGTGTTTAACTCGGAAATTAGTAGTTTACTTTCAAAACGGTCAATGTGCTAGAGGAAAGGGAGTGAAGCTAGCAGCAACGACAAGCTGGGCGCTCATCGAAAGCAATGTGGTAGCGTTCCCAGGTTGAGATAATTGCTGCGATCAGTTTTGCTGCGATCCAATCTTGAACTGACCCAAGAACCAACAAACCACCCATTGGTCTCCTAACTCTTGTGTTCCAAAGCTTCACAGGAAACAAGCAAAAACGAGATTTACCTTGGGAGCAGCAAATACTTTCGCACTACCTTCTTCAACAGCTTCAATTATCTCTTTACGTTGCAACTCGAAATTGGTTTTGTCATCGTCGCCCTTAAAAGCAGTAGTGGTAATATTTTACAGAACAAAAGATAAAAGATAACAGCGAGACCAAGAGGCCTCAAAGAGGTTCACTCTTTCTCAACGTCGCAGACATTCTCCCAAGCAAGAAGAAAACCTGCCTTCTTAACTGTCGAGTCGATAGCGGCGTTCGCTCTGAAGTCTCTTGTAGACGGATCAAAGGTCGTTGCACCGCGCTATAACGAACCAGGCTAACAAAAGTGCAGGAAAAACAGGTTGTGGTAGTACCTTTCCAAAAGAAATCCACTTCGGCGCTTTACAAT